ATATATATATATATATATATATATATATATATATATATATATATATGCGAAAGCACAATTTTATAACTTGTAACACTAACTTTGAAATGAGACACCGAGATGCACTTGTGCATATGAGCGAGGAACACGAACATAACGTTCACACTATCACGTTACGTTATCTATGTGTTTCTTGGCAAAGGCTAATTCAGTTGCTCAACGTTGCACTCTAGAGTGTCCTGAATATCTCGGCAAGGAGACATTATTAATGCATACGTGTACCGCTCTACGTTTATAATTGGCCCGCACGTTGTGTGTCTACAGATAGATCGATATATTATCGCGGGACATTTTATAGCGATCCTTTTACTATCTTCTTCCGCATCGTAACGCGAGCAATTATCTTGTAGATTCACGTTAACCCAAACTTAACATCCCCCACACTTAATATCCTCCAAAACATCTGTCCATCGCTTCGTCTGAATTCTAAAAGGAGTAACATTGGCAACAATTAATCGTGTCTCGGAAAGACGTCTTGATCGGTAGTCCAACGAAAATCGACAACGATAAAAGACGAAACGAGTCGGTTGTATTTTTTATCTCGTTGCTACTGTCCCGTGACACACGACATATCCTTATCCTCAACTACATGTTATTCCGAAACGGAGAACAGAGCCGATCAACAGTCACCCTTTGAAACAAATAAAATACAGAAATGTCAGAACGGGTATATAAAAAGTTCGATTCGAAGTTCGACCGATTCATCAACGAATCAAACGGAATAAAGGCAGATTTATTTGCTCGCGAAGTTTGCGATACTTTTCGAAATCCGAAAGTCCAACGATCGCTCTAAGGAAAGATCGTGAAAGATCGCATTGATTCAATTTTCATCGCTCCATCGAACGATCGTGTCGTACGTTTCAATCAAAGCATATAAGCGCGCAGAGAGAAAGAGTACATGTTAGTTCGACGAAGAAATAAAGTTCTGTTCTCCGGAAATGCCTGTTCTCCACGTTGTTGACCTTATCTGTAACCCGAATCTGTAGACGCCTCGGCATTATGTGGTCCGTGACTATCCGGAAGTCGGGGTGAGGGCTGCTCAAGAGCAATACAGCTATGCCTACACCAACACCAGTTCGGCGAGTTCCTCCTCCGCTGCGGATCCGTACAGCCGCCGTCCGCAGAGGACTAGCCACACCGAAGAGAACGTCGTCAAGAGGGAGAGCGGACCGTACGGATCGTATTCGACCGAGAGGTCGTATAGGACATCGACCGGCGGCGGTCCCGGAGGCTATCATTCCTCTTACGAGTCCCACACTTCCGGTCGTTTACCTGGCGGCACCACTTACCGCCATTTCTCCTATCGCGTCTAAAATCCCGACCGAAAACGGCCATCGGATTAGTTTCGTTTCACCGAATTCTAATTAGAGAACGAACTTAATCCTCAAGCAGTATCACGAGGCCATGGAAGTAACTCGTATAATATTATAAAAATAATAAGAAACTTTTCTCACAACGATACAATGGAAAACTAAATCTTGTACAAGTTGGAGTAAAACTAGCTGGCAAATTTCATTGACGCAGTAGATTAGAGACGACTGTTGTTTTGATTATATTGTTAAAATTTGAAACTGAATCTGAAA